CAAGAGAATCCTTCGTTACTTGCAAGGAACTAAGGATTTTGGGATGTTCTACAAGAAGGGTGTCAAGTCTGGCTTTGTTGGATTTACTGACAGCGATTTTGCAGGGGATATTGATGACAGAAGGAGCACCTCAGGCTATGTTTTTATGCTCGGCAGTGGGGCTGTTTCATGGTCTTCTAAGAAACAGCCCATTGTCACTTTGTCAAGCACTGAAGCTGAATTTGTAGCTGCTGCAAGTTGTGCGTGTCAAGCAGTTTGGCTAAGGAGAATTCTTAAAGGGCTGCAGTTTGAACAAGAGGGAGCTTCTATTATATTTTGTGATAACAGCTCTGCTATCAAGTTGTCAAAAAATCCAGTACTACATGGAAGAAGTAAACATATAGATGTCAGATTTCATTTTCTCAGGGACTACACAAGAGATGGAGTAATCCAGCTTCTACACTGCAGGAGTGAAGACCAAGTTGCTGATGTAATGACAAAACCTTTGAAGATTTCAGTTTTTCAGAGGTTAAGGAAACAGTTGGGTGTCTGTGAGCTCATTTAAACTGGAACATACTTGATGTTTCAGTTTAAGGGAAGGAATGTTGAATAAGCCAGTTAACAAAGTCATTATTTATTAATAGGTTTATCATTTCAGTTATTGTCCTATTCTTATGTCATTAGTTACACTTTTGTGGCTTTCCTTATTTTTAGGAAATGCAGTAGTCTATCTTGTTGCTTTGTATAGCCTATAAATTGGCGTAGCTATAGACTAATAAAATTATCAAGTCCTCTTCCCATTCCTGTTCTGTTTTTGAGCTTGTTCTGATCCATATTAAATATTTATAGTTTTAACATTTCTTCTAAACAAGGTTGCCTACAACCTGTTTGATAAAATTCCCCAAAGATAATTTGTCTTACAAATCCATGTATTTCACAAACAACACGATCTTCCTATTTATCCACGGAGGTTGAATTTCAGATCCAAATATCAAATATCAAATCCCACGGAGGTTGAATTTCTAGCTAAATCGATCAATTTTTACAGAATTCCGTCTTTCAAAGCAATGAATCTGACCGATGCTTAACAGAATTCTGTATCTACACAAAATCCAGATGAACAAAGGCTCCGCATGCAAATCAAGGACATTTTTGACAGATGCTAAACTGATTAAGGAAGAAGAAAAAAAAGCGGACCTGGAGAGAAAAAAGCAAAACTCTTCTGCTGATGTCTTCTAGTGTGAGACCTGGCTGCCGCTGCCGATACTCTTCTGGAAGCTCCGGTCGCCATTTTTATCAGGAACAAGAATTCACTGCACTCAAGTGCGCATTAGGCGTCGTCTTGAATCTGAAGTTCGCAAAGAGAGTCGTCCAAATCAGACGATAGAATCTTCGTTGCAACACTGTGCTGCCGTTGACGCAGCCGCCGGCGGGGCCCGGGAGATAAAATTTTCCAAAAATCTGAAAATCATACAAAATAGAGGATTTTTTGTTTTGTTAAACAAAATGTGGGCTTTTTTATTCATATTTTCTTTTTTTTGTGCTTCACTCATAAATTGTTGGAAAAATTACTTAAAATAATCCCAACTTTATCCGGTCTTTCAAAAATAATCTCATCTTTCACTGTGATGCATAATAATCCCAACTTTATTGAAATTTGCTAGTTTTGGGTCGCCGTTAAGTTTCTAACGGAGGGTTAACGGAAATGCCCGTTTTAGGCAACAAAATGAAAGTTAGAATTATTTTTGATGAATTTTTGTTTTTTAATTTTTTTTGGAAATTTTTATTTAAATTTTTTGAATTACTTTCAACCTCCATTTCTTTTTCTTTTTTAAAGATTAATCTTACCTTGGAAAAAAATAGATATAAAAAATAATGAAAATGAGAAAAATAACTAAAACCATACAAAATTAATCAAATAAATAATGTAATCAATAGAAATTAAACAGAAACTGGTAAGAAATAAAATAAATACTCCCTCTGTTCCCCTGTATTTGTCCACATTTGACTTTTGACCTGTTCATCTAAGCATTTTGACTCATCAAATTCACTCAATGTGTAAGCCTAAATTTAGTCATGTGTGATCTTGTTTGATTTGTCTTAACATATAGATTATTAATATATAATTTTTATAATTTTTTAATATACAAATTACAAGATAAAATGGATTAAAGAGTGCATTGGATGGTGTGTAAAAATGAAAGTGGACAAATACAGGGGGACAGAGGGAGTATATACGGAGTGGTGGGTTTTAACATTTTACACACTATACGGAGTCTTAATGTACAACTTATTTTTTAAAAGAACAAGCCGTCCGGTAAAGTTGGAATTATTGTAAATAATTTTTTCTAAAAAATAAGAAGTGATATGTTAATACTTTGTATAATGCGTAAAATATTAAAACCCACCCGTATATTTTTATTTTACTTTTACCAATTTTAAGTTAGTTTCCATTGATTACTTTATTTATTTTATTATTTTTGTATCATTTTAGTTACATTTCTCATTTTAAACTAAGACTAATCTTTAAAAAAGGAAAAAAAAACGATGATGGAGGTAGAAAGTAATTTTAAAAAATTTAAATGAAAAATTAAAAAATAAAAAAAATGAAAATTCATCAAAAATAATCCCAACTTTCATTTTGTTGCCTAAAACTGGCATTTCCGTTAACCCTCCGTTAGAAACTTAACAGTGACCCAAAACTGGCAAATTTCAGTAAAGTTGGGATTATTATGCATCACAGTGAAAGGTGAGATTATTTTTGAAAGACCGGGTAAAGTTGGGATTATTTTGGATAATTTTTCCTAAATTGTTACATAGAACTAGGGTGCCTCCAAGAGTGCCTCCATGCCGTGCCGAGACCCACAGATAATTTATTTAGAAGATACCATAACACAACTCTAAATAACTCTATCCGTCCCACTTTAGATTACAATATTCCCTTTTAACTGAAATTAAGGAAGAGTTAAATCAAATTTTTTTCCACCAATTTTACCCTCCAAATTCCCCCAAATAGTGTGAATAGTGACTGACATAAAAGAAAAGGGAGGGTATAAAAGAGTCAAATCACTACAAGGTTATTGACTTTGTAATCCTTTTTGGGACAAAAATGTGAGAGAATATTGTAATCTATTTTGAGACGGAGGGAGTATTACGTGAATAAAAAATCACTTTGGCACAGATCAATGGTTAGTGTAGGATGTGATAAAGAACGAATTCGAGTTCGAAGCTTGAGGGTTGCAACTTGCGATGAGAGCAACGATGCAGAACATGATGTTTCTATAAGTAACAGACATGGAACCTTATCTTTATTATGCCAAGTTACTGAGCTTATAACTAAATTTATATACTCTCATATAATTGTACAGCCAGTGTTGAGGTGACACAGAGATATAGAATATCAATCTTTTTTGTCATGTGACATAGGGGCTGTTTGGCAACTTCTGAATAGGTAAGTGCTGAACCAGTAAGAGGTCTGAACCATTAAGTGTTGAACCAGTAAGAGGTCTGAACCATTAAGAGCTAGTATATTGCTTAACTATTCAGAGGCAAATGTCTGATCAATTCAGATAAGAGGTCTTAACCATTCAGACTCTGTATAATACTTAACCATTCAGAGGCAAATCTCTTAACCATTCAGACATATGAACCATTAAGAGGCTGAAACAAACAGTCTGAACCATTAAGTGCTGAACCATTCAGACATCTGAACCATTAAGAGACTGAAACAAACAGCCTCATAGTGTTGATATCTTAGTTCCACCCTTTGGTAGTGGTGCTCCACATTTTACTTTAGCTTTTTTCAAATATTAACAATAGTGAACTTTAAACTAGATACTCCCTCCGTTCTCAAAAAAAGTTCTTACTTTGAAAAAGTGGAAAAATAAGGAAGTGTTAAATTGTAGTTAACAA